CATTACTAATATTTTACTGCTCCTCCTCATTAAATTTGATAACAAGCAGTGGCCCCCTCCCTAATTATCAAAATAATGTAGTAGTGAGATTTAAACAAGACTACAGTAGTTTACAGCAATGCAAGCTGCTCTCTGAGGATGTTTTCAGGCACAGTGGTGCTTTAAGCTAAATACGATCATCAGCATGCTATCCGTGCTAACAATGACAATGCTTATAGTCAGCAGGTACATGCACGTACATCATGTTCTATGCGTCTTAGTTAAGTGTATTAACATGCAAACATTTGAAAACTAGCAAAAAAAAGTGCAGCTGATGCTGATGGAAAGTTACTAGGTTTTACAGATTTGGTTTACCAATTTACCAAAGTATTAGACAAACTGAAATTTTGACCTGATGTTGGGGCTAGATTAGCCTGGAAGCACCAGACTAATTCACACATGCATAAAACATGAGCTTGGAAGATTCATTTGGTCCCCAAACTAGGGCTAAATGAAAAGTCAGACTAGGGTTATTACAATTAATTCTGCCTGTACCAAATTTTATGACAATCCATCCAATTGTTGCTGGGGCATTTCTCTCAAAACCACTCAAGGTCAAGCTAATGGCGGCACTAAAGGAATCACTAAAGTCACTAGTCTGTACAAAATGTTGCCAATCCATCTCGAAAATGTTGAGATATTTTAATGGATAAATGGAATTAAACTCTGGCCTTAACTAACCCTGAATATATGTACAAACACTCATGGCAAACTGTCCAATTTGTTGAGTTATTTCAGGAGCAAAGCTTTTATGGTGTGTTGTTTCCTGCTTGCAACTATGTCAGTCACTTGTTCCTGTTGAATCTTGTTTCACTGCCCGCTGTTCATAGTACAGTAATGGTGTTAGATGTTTAATAGTGTCGATCACACTCCATAATGTTGAGCATTTGGTAGGCTGTGCGTGTAAGTAAGAAATGGTAGAAGAATGTTTAACACAGAAACGGGGGGGAGTAAAATTATATCCACAATTACGGCAGATTACTGGATGTCCCTAAGTTACATTAGTCTTACGCAAATGGATTCAAGAAAGCTTTAGCTCATTCAGTATGACAATAGTTATAAGCTATTAAACTTTTAATATGTCAAATATTTTTCTTTTACATTTGGAGAAATGCACTCCTGCTGCCTGTCCTTTAGGAATGGAACAGTATCATTAATGACAGCCAAGCAGTTTATATGGGCTACAGACATGATTTAACACCATAGATATCAGCATGAAAGCACATTCTGTTCCCCCTCACTGGGATTGCTGTCAGACGCAGTGTCTACAGAGTACACTTTTTCCTGCTTGATCAAATGGTGGAATATTTAACCTGAACTTTATGCAAACTCCAAAAAATCCCATCAATGCAGTAGCACAGTTATAATTTTAATGGGGTAATATTTGGTTGAAGTTCAAAGGGCGTAAAATATTACTCTATAATACCGCTCCATAGGCCAAGGGAAAAGTGAATTGGATAGGTTTACTGATTAAAAGAAAAAGTTAGCAAGAGAAGAAAATTTTTCCTGATTTACAGCTGTGACCATAAATCAAACAAAGGTCTGAATCTGCAATAACCACTATTACCACAATACAGCCCAACTCAGACATAATACTGTAGACGTATGCAAGTAGCATGCACACACACACACACACACACACACACGCACACACACACACACACACACACACATACTTATACTTACATTACCACAAACATAAACATATCTGGTTAGCTAATAAACTTGGCAAATATCAAAGTCAAACCTTCAAATCATCCCAGTAGTGGCCTGGGCTTGCCCTTCTGCTAAACTTCTATATCTGTATTTTACAAAGATCAAATTGGATTGGGGTGGAAAGGCGGCAATGATGTTGGGATTCTTGTCATGTGCAGTCACCCTGCAGCTTGGTACCACTCGTCTGAGCCCTGCGAGTCCGCCACTTTTTCATCCAGCGCAAATTTACTTTGTCTGATCATTTGTTTTCCAATTACGTCCCTGTCTCTGCTAGCAGAAAGTTGTCAGCTTTGGTTATGTGAACCCGCTCTTGGGTCTGTAACCAGGGGCAATGTTTGATGTTTGGAACATTTTCATACCCATTAAAAGATGAAGGGAGGGTGAATTATTATCCTGCAGAGTTGATTGGGTTTTGGGGGGCTTAGTTTAGGTTTCTGTATGTGATGGTATAGTGGAGCCACACAAAAAGACACATTCTTATCTTCCCTTAGTGAGTGGAAAAATTGTTGAATAGAAATAGACCAAAGCAGAAGTTGAAGTTAAATAAGTGGTGGATTGTTCATGAAGCATTTTACAATGTACTTGTTATCTAATCAGTATTCAGCATTCAGTCGTTTACTCACATCTGTTTTCAGTATTTGACCACAGTTTAAAAGTAAATAAAACCTTCACAGTATTTGTTCACAGTAACACATTCACAGTAATTGCCAAAAATCTTAAGCACAGTATGGCAATTTAGATGAAAGATGCTGAATTGAACCTCAAGGAGAAGATTACACCCACATAGTGGGAAAATACAACAGATGAGTATAACAATGGCAGCAAAATTGAATGGGACTTTGAGAGGCAGAGCAGAGGACAAAGTAGCAAGGAAAGAAAGCAACAGAATCAATGTTTGGCTATAACTGTCGCATTAGCCGTGATAAACGAGGGCACTGATAGAAACTCTGGAAGTCGACGCAGGACATTCCAATGATCAAGTACTGAATAATCGGACACAATGGATTCTGGGAAGGAGAGGCAATTTGCTACCATGGATCCAAGAAGAGGAGCATCAATTCACATATTGACCTTTAAAAATGCTATTTATGGATGGTATCTTCAGTTCATAGCTGGATGAGAAGTTCTCTAGTAGGCCATTTTGTATGGGGAAATTACACCGTGGTGCATTTCCTCCACTGACAGCCTGTAGTATTTATCTGGAGACATCAGCCAGTAGGTTTAAAATGTAAAGGGCAGTTAAAACAAAAACAAACTCTGATTGATGGAACAATGATCTGTGGTGAAATGTATTGAGCTGCAACATTAGATTTGCCACTGTACAAATACAGCACTCCACGTAGTGCTTCAATATGTTTTCTTGGGATAATGGACAGATGACAGTTGAAGGATCATAGCTGGAAGCATACAGAGACACACACACACCCACACACATGCAAACAAACAAAGTATAGGCGATCCCTTTTTGGAGCACTCAGGTATTGCACTTGTGTCTGTCAGGCTGCTTATTTCTGACAATTTCTGTCAGCTAACTGTGGCTTTGGAAAACGAGACTACAGAGACCTGGCAAATATTTTGGCCTTGATGCACAGCTCAATGTTTTTATTACTCTTATTCGTTTATGGTCCCAAGAGGTTACTAGCAAATTCAGAGACATTTCAGTTGTTTAAAGAAGAAGTAAAATGGCCGACTATTCTAACTGTTAAAAACAATCACGATCCTGCAGTTGCTGTAACATGGAGAAGTGAGAAGATGTGAATATGGGTTTTAATGAGGTTGCTTTGGCCAAGATTATTTGTTTCATTTTTCTCTTCATTAGACTTAAGTTTAATAGAGAGGAAAGTGAAAGAACAGTGAAATGAAATATTGCCGGTTAAAGGATATTCTAGCTTAGCATAAAGACTGGGAGACTGGAAACAGGAGAAAAACAGCTAGCTTGGCTTTGTCCGAAGGAAACAAAATTCCCCAGCACCTCAAAGGCTCACTAATTAACATGTTATACCCCCTTTGATTTATCTGTACAAAAAAAGCTAAGCTAAGCGGCTGCTGGATCCAGATACATGCATGTGGTATTGATCTTCTCATCTAACTCTCAGCAAGAAAATGACTAAGCATATTTCCTAAAATTCCTTAAAAAAGTTAAAATTATTCTACATTGTAGTGCTGAGGTAAGGTAAGGAATATTTATGTGTGTTTGGAAGACTTTGTAAAGATCTGAGAACTGGGGTGAAGCGTTTTACTTCCTTGGTCTTAGTCCTTTAATTCTTGCTATATTTCTATGGTATCAGCAGGCTGACTTTTTTTTTGGCACGGAAAACAATTATTTCTGTTATTATCTTTGTTTAACTTGAGGGACTTCTGGCACGTCCAGTCGCTGATTTGTTCAATGCACCATAGCTGCTTGGTAATGCCTTTATGTAAATTTGTGTGTTGTCTGCATTACTATGGTTGGATAATTTGTGTTAAGATAAAGTCTGAATTTTAAATGCTTCTTTAACAATTAGGCTGTTTTCATTTCACAGAGAACAATGTGCACACAATATATAAAAACGTCCTTTTTGTGTCAGCCGTCTTTTGTACAACAATTTCATGATGTTGTAGCATTTCTCTTTCATCTTAGCAGCTACAACCTTAAACCCCAAAAGCTAACTTTTAGAGGACATTTTGGCCAAAATAATAATAAAATAAACTTAATTTCCACCCTCCAGGCCTTGTATCAAATCCTGCAGCACATTCTCTCTCTCACTCTCCTGATGATTATCTCTTGCCTATGAACTTTACCGCTGTCTCCATTCAGGAGAAATAACTTCCTATCCTTTGAAATGGAAAAATACTGCTGAAGGCTTTTCAAGTGCACTTAAGATTCATTTGAACTGGAACAAGAAATTCTGTTGCTGTAGGCGGACGTTTGTGACATATAGCTTTTTTTCTTTACTGACAATACATATTCATATATTTTCCTCAAAGACACCTTAGGGGAACACATTTCAACATCTAATAATAGAGTGGTAGTGACACAGATGTCTGCTGCGTGTGTGCACAATGACGACTCTTTAGACATCTGGGATTTAATTTAGAATGAATACACGTATAATAATAGAAATTTGCGGCTGATGTGTGGCAGCAAGTTTCTGTTTAGCGTATCATGATCTTTACCCAGTTTCAAAGCATAAAATCTTTCCATCTGCCATGGACAGGCAACATCTTATATGTTTGCTGCTAGTGTTCAGGTGTGTGCCACTTACCTTGTACAATGAGGTAGACCTGTGAGGTCTTGGGCTGCTGCTTAGTCTGTATGGAGCAGGTGTACGATCCCTCGTCATAAACATCCACCTACACACATAAGAACAGAATATTGTTATTTCATTCGTTTGAATTCCTTCATGTCTTACCTTTTAACAGCTTCATTATTTTTATGATAACTCCAAGAAATTATTCAAATACACATTTGGCATTCTCAAACTACACTCTAAAACATCATACAGGAATTTAGTGGAATAAACTAATCTATTTAAAGGACCAGTGTATAGGATTTAGTGCTATCTAGCACTGAAGCCTCAGATTGCAACCGGCTCCAGCAAATGCAACACCAACACTAAAAGCAACAGCATGATGTGATGTCAGTTTGAATGAATTTCGTCTTCGTAACAGGAATAATTTATGGGCATGAGACTTAATGTAGAAAATTATGTTTTTATAATTATCTCCTCCCCGATGTGATATTTAAATTAATTAAATTAAATTAAACCACAATCTCTTCATAACTTTAAAATATGTGCTTTTTGTTGCCTAAGCCTAACAACAGGTAGGACTCAGGATGTGAACCCCGGTCTCTGGTGTCAAAGTCCTGCACTACGGTCATTGCAACTGGATTTAACTTTCTTTCTTCTGTGTTTTGCTTTGTTTGTCTTACCCTCTATGTCCTAACTGAACCTTGAGGACAAAGCATGTACATCACACACACCAGGTTTTGCATAATAATGTCCTGTCTTTTGTATTATACTAATAAAAGTTTCATATAAACATATAAAATCTCTACAGAAGTAATTAGTTGACTAGTTGACACAGTTTTTTTCCTATAAAGGTTTATGCTGCCCCCTTTTTTCAAATTTAGTTTGAATGCTTAATTTATTCCAGGTATTTACTCCAGCTTTTAACATAAGGTATCTTGTCTCAAATTTAAGGAACAGTTTGACAATTTGGGATGGTACGTTGATTCACTCTCTTTGCTGAGAGTTATTTGAGAAGATTGATACCACTCCCATATCTGTCCATTAAATATGAATACATTTCTACCTTGGGGCAGAGCCAGGCTAGCCATTTCCCCTGTTCCAGTCTACTAAGCTAAGCTACTCATTCTCTCACCACTTTCATATTCAGCAGGTGTATTTTCCACAATGTCAAACTGTACATTAAGTATAAAGTTATACTAGCATAGCATATTTATGTAAAAATACCCATGTCTTGTTTCATGATTTCTGAATATGATTTTTTAAACAAAATTCAATTCAAAATCTCCCATCTTTAAATGCAACTCTTATCCAAACCCAGCTCATGATGAATCAAATATAAGCATTGCAGTACAGTACAGTTTCTAGGTCACTATTACCTTTTGTATGCGCAGGCTGTACTCCAGCTGGCCTTTAGTGACCAGATCTACTCTGGGGTCCAGGGACCACTTGTCCTGGCCGGCAAAGATGATGTTGGATCGATTGAGCCAGGCCACCTTGGACACTTTGTCATCAACATAACACCTGCGGGCACAACAAGAGCAAGTAAGGTGAGGAGAAGGAGATAAAAAAGAAGGCTGGGTTTCTCATGAGGGGATGCGGTGTGAGAAGGCATGAAAACAAAGGTTGGGTAACTTCCTTAATATTTTGATAAGAAATCTTTTTAGGAGGAAGGAAATGTGGAGTTCTAAAGATAGGAAACAAACAAATAAGAGCAATTATGCAATCCCACAGAGTAGGTGGCTGTATGAAACTCGAGGAGGTTTAAGTAAGGATTTAAAAACAAAATAATTTCTTGAAACAGTGGCCCGAGCTGGGTATATTGCAAGATAATCAGGAGTGGTGTGTTTGATACTGCTGACCAGCAAGGGTAATTCAGAGTTAGTTAACCTAATCAGACAACTCAGCACTCCAACTATCCTGTGGTCTTAAAATAAAAGCCAAAGTTGAGGAGCATGTCTTTCGCCTTTCCATCCTCAATTCAACCCACACACTATCTCTTCCTCCCACTCATTCCCTCTCATTGTCCCTCTTTACCCCCTCTCTCCTTCTCAGTCTCCTTCTTTAAATCAGCATCCCTTTCTCTCTCTGATAAATACATCTCCTTTAACAGTGAACCTATTCTTGTGGATGAGAAAGGACACCAGTATCCTCTTGTTTATTTCTTGTTGCACACTGTCAGAACATTACGCCAAGTAAGCTCCAGCTAAGACATCTTGCACAGGAGGGATGGGAGCCGAGCGTCTGCCTAATGAATAAATGTAAATGTGAGAAGACGTCGGAATCAATGAGAATGGATATCAGCTGTAATGCAAGCCGACAGTGGATGCGCCTCACATGCAAATTCCCACGACTCTCCGAGCCTTGGCTGTGCACACTGTTTTGGAGTGTGTTGGGCTACAAGAGAGTAGATTAGCGAGGCAGTGGAGTGAGGCTGTCTTTGGCAGGTGACCCCGGGTGATGAACAAAAGTGGTGGTGCAGTCACCCCAGCCTGTTACCCAGTGGGAGCTGGATGTCAGATTTATTGAAGGCTTGTACTCGCAGCTTGAATCCCTGTTGATGTTGCTTCCCTTTGTGCAGAACCAAGGTATCTCACTGTATTTACTGACTCACTTTGACGTCCAGGTTTTACTTTCTTCACTAAGAAGTTGTTTTCGTTTCTTCAGGGCTGTAATTAATAGACTCTATTCAAAAGCTAAACTAATTCCAGGACATTTTCCTATAATCATGGACAGCTATATGAGCTCTTCCCCTAAAATCATAAAAAGCATTGATTCCTACAATCCAGGGGTAACATCTGGAGCACTAAAATGGGGCATAACTCTGATAATTCAATCCATATGATATAGATAATTTATGACTCAGATTTAGAGTGAGTTTTGAGCTTTTATGTCTGGAAAAAAAATCAAAGAATGATGAGCCCCTGCGGTGAGTGATTGATGCAAGTTACATGTTCAAACCCTTAGAACTTTACTTTATGTATATTCCAAGTCAAGACCATGGTGCTTTCAAAAGTACAGAAAAAATTATATACAATAAGTTGTAAATTGTAAATGATGACAAATGTGCACAAAACATAAAAATATTTCACTAAATAGAAATGTGATATGTACTGTAGCTCCAGTGTAGCGCTGCAACAGGCATATGCATAACATACTGTTCAGTCTGTGAGAGTGTTGCACAGAGTTGGAGAAAAAGAGGTCAACAGTATCAGCTATTGAGACATGATGTGTCATTGTTCACCACCCAGTATATAAAATGTACTGTATAAAATGTACTGTATAGTACTGCTGTTACTTTTAATTTTGTGCAGGAATTTTCCATCAGACTGTTATTTCCTTTCAACCAAATGCACATTTGCTTTATTGTAAGCGCAATCTAATATATGAAATGTATTAATATTGTCAGATTCTTCAAGATAATAAATGTAAATGTTTGAACAAGATTTTTTTTAAAGGAAATTCTTTTCTATGTGTGCAAAGGTTCTAATGCCATGATTGACTGTTTAATAACTATAATAATGCTCTGTATCAGTGAAACATATAGACATACAGTGACAAGTTGAACAGCTTTAAGTGTTTGCAGTGAAGCAAAAAACTGCCCTGGCTGACTGAGTGGTTGTATGTTGTTTGTTTTCTCTGAGCTAACTTCTTCCCTCCATTATTACAGCCCAGTCCTACAGCAAAACATGTAATAGACCCGCCAAATCCACTGGAGGATAACGTGTCAGTGTCACAAGTACCTCTGTGTATAAAGGTGCAGTGCCAGTAGAGGTAGGGAGCAGGTTGGGATGGATGAATGGGCCAAACACAGGACTTTAATACAGGAGACTGCAGTTTGTTTCCCGTATGAAACCAATAATCCACACTAACTCTTTTAAACTTAAATACCTACGTTAATGTACGTGATTTTATCTTAACCCAAATCACAATCTTTTCCTTAACCTAACCAAGTAGTTCTGTTGCTTACTTGACTGAGGAATGAGAACATGGACCGGTGCGTCAATAACATGCTTTGGTGTGATACCTGATCATTTCCACTCATCTACTGTAAAATAAACAGTAAGTGGTGAAAAAACAAAAAGTGAAAGACAGAATGGGGAGACGTGAACAGGATCATGACAAGTTTCCTTCAGTTGTTTCTTTCAGCGACTTTAAAGATTAAACAGTATGTTGTGACTGATCCTGAGTTGTGATCTGACAACTGTCTACTGTACAAACATTTTATAGAGTTTATGATTTAACTATAGACTTGCGACACTTATAGAGAAACAATACCCCCTTGAAAGAAAATGCTGTCTTGCATTATTCATATGCAGCTTATAATCTACAGATTTGTCTAATTAGTGATTTTCTTGTAGAACACAACTCTGGTCAGTAGTCTGATTGATGCAGATTCGTAGATATCTGAAGTAAATTCCCAGTGTTTGAGTTAAACATGCAAAATTCTTTCTGGTAAAATTGTCACGACACACTCACTGACTCACTTTCATTACTATTTACAGAGGGAGAGTAAACAGAGACTATTGTCCAACAAAAGACTCCTGTGGCAGGCTGTTCCTTTCTATATCGATGGCAAATGCAGATTTTAGGTTTTCTTCTGGAGGTCTAAAGCAGCCTGATGCTTTGTGATTGCTAGAAACACAGTTCAGAGACTGCAGAATTGTTACTCAGCCAATTGTAAACAGACATTCATCATGCAATTAATATGTAAATGTGAAAGGCTTTAAACTCCTCAAGTGGATTTGAGATGAGATGAAACTTGAGTGGAAAAAGGGTGATTGAAAGGAGCCGCCTTTGTAGAAGAATTCAACACAGAAAAATAGAAAATAAACCACACTTTCTAAAAATGCAGCAATAAACTGCTGTGAAGATTATTTAAACACATGAAAATGACATTTTCCAAAACTGGTAATTAAATGATTGTGTAATTAAATAAACTGACTTGTATACATATTCATTGGCACAATAATTGTTACTGAAATTTAAAATGTAACTGATCACGCAGAAGCAGCATTATTTTACCTACAACATCAGTGCGGATTATGAAGCAGTAAGAGAGAAATGTGCCTTTCATGTTTTTGCCTGATCTCTTGCCTCCTGGTGCTGAAGAAGTATTTCACGTGTGTCACTGAGGTGAGATGTTAATTGAAGCATTTTTGATTTGAAAGTTTCAAATCAAAAAAAGTTTTAAGCACATCACAGACTCTATAGGAATGTCTCTCAAACTGACTTGTTACTGCTACCTTGTCAGTTTTTGCCTGGTTCCTATTCCCTGGCGTGTTCACAGAGAAAACAAGGCAAATTTTGCACAGAATTTACGAATTGAATGAAAAATGAATGATGCAAATTTTCCCCCATTCGCATATTTGCGTGAGTTGAAAATATTTCACTTTGAGAGTAATAATTGCGAATATCATGGGTCTTGTGCAGTGTTGTATGGGGAAGATCGGAGAGAGATAGAGCTGTTGCAGACAGCTGACAGCTGCTTGAGCCCGGGGAGCTCTACAGTAGAGAGCCGGGGGCAGAGCCGGAGCTTCTGGAGGAATAAACACCCGTAGTCACACCGGATTCTGCTCTGATCTGGAACCATACCGGAAAGAGCAGAGCTCAGTTTATTTATTAACTTTTGGGATTAAAAAGCAGATTTATCTTATCCCTTCTAAACCTGTGTGCTGTGAGCCAAGGATGTGCCACCCCCACTTATAGCTGTCTGTGGGCAGCCAGAGCTCCATGATACTACTTCATTTTCATACAGAGACCGGACAAAAAAAAAGAGATTGGCTGGAGAAAAGTAAGCAAGGAACTTGGACTATCTGGTAAGTGCTGAAAACATTTGTTTGTGACTTGACTCCAGCTATTGGTTTTACATAGTCCGGATCCATCCAAACTCAGACTTTTTACAAATCAGCAGCAAGAAGTAGTTATTTCGTTATTTTCATTCATATTTTTCATACCACTGTAGTAAGCCAGGGTAAATATTTACCCACACAAGTAAACACAAATAATCCTTCGAGTATACTTGCACGAGAAACCCGAGGTGAAAATTTGCTTTGAGCTGTGAACGCACCTTTGAAATTAGCAGCAGTGCTTTTAGCTAAAACTAACACGCTGATGTTTATCAGCTGTAATGTTTATCGTGTTCACCATCATAGTTTAGTGTGTTAGCATACAAACATTTACTACAGCTGAGGCTGGTGGGAATTACCAAACTATTGGATAAATTTAAACTCTGACCGAATGAGGTGCTAAATGGAAAGTTAATGGATCAGCAAAGTTGTTAGAAATGATCCTGAGATGACGTGCCTGTACCAAATTTCAACGTCTTGAGGATCGTAACTGTGGGCACCAGGAACAAAATTACCACAATCCATCTAAGAGACGGAGATATATTTCACTTCTTTAACGACATGAAACACAGTTGTATTCTTTGATTTTAACTTCCTAGCCATGGTACAATAGCTACAAGAGTGCTCTACAGTTCATACAGAGGTACTTTGAAGCTAATATCAAAACAGCTTACT